TATTCAGTGATAACAAGTTTTCCATAGTAATCTAGCTTCAATTGACTCATGATCTCAACCATTGAACTTACTATAATATCCACAAAACCCTTCTAATATAAATTATTATTGTTGTCTATTTTTTCAAATATTATGATTGGCTTAAAAATTCAAAATTTAGGGTTATGTCTAATTAATACTGTCAATAAAATCGTTTGAGAGACAAATTGATGGCCTGGGAAGAAAAACAAAATCTGTCCAACCTTGAAAAGATAAAGGAATTAAGTCACATGTTCTTTTAATATTTAATACAAAGAAAGATATATTTTCGAATTTGAGCATTGTAATATTTGTATATCATTGTCTAGACGTTTTGAACTTACCATGAAGTAAATATTGTGTTTTTGTGGATATTATGGCAATTTTCATAGTTAAGATCATGAGTCAATTGAAGCTAGACTACCATGGAAAACCTGAAAACACTGGACGGCCGTTTCGTGGTCTAGAAGTTAAAGAAATCAAATTCCAGTTACTTAACCAAACTTGGGCTGATAAATGAATAATAATCAATTTTCATTTGCAAATATTATGCTCCACTTCACTTTTTCAACTATTTCTATTCAGTAAGGTAGATGCTAACTAATCTTTGGTTAAAATTCTCCGTTAAGCATTACATTTACTGAGACTTATATGTTAAAAAACTTTTCTGATGGACAATACTGAAGATGTGGATGAAGTAACTGGCTAAGACCGGATAAATTTTGTCAATTAAAGAATAAAAAGATTTCGAATAACCATGTATGAATATATTCATACGTCCGTAACTGACAGCCGTCAAGATCTTGAATCAAACAAAACTGTCTTTAATTAAAATTTCATATTTCATATTATATTAAACGGCTGTTGGGGTGATCCAGAAAATTTCTCGCAAAAGCCAGGTAAGGATCAGGAAACACCAAGAAGCATTTCATATAATCAGCGTTCACTTGAAGTTTTAGCCAGAAACATCAAGTAAGTGAAACATCACATGTAGAGTTTCTGATTGGCCGATTTCCATACTGCTACTATGTTTGGTAGCATTCCAGAATCTTATAGCAACCCAAGGACATTTAAAATATTATAAAAACCCTATATTTTCTGTATTAAAATGAACCTTTGGAGTAAAGTACTTCTCGCATACTTTGTGCCTTCCCTCTCGTGTTCAGGTCGCTGTATAGTTCTAGCTTGGGGGTTATAAGAATAAATTTGGTACCGAATATAGCATTCAATTTGCGTGACTTATCAACGGCCGAAGACAGTTCGGGAAAATTTCCACATCTGTTCTGTATGCTAGTTGACACTTAACAACAAGATATATCCACAATCTTTGGAGAATTGATGCCCCTCACACAATTCGAACCTGTCTCATCATCTAACCTCGAACACATTACATCCCTATTTCAAAAACAGTGATCGCATCACTACTTGATCTATAGAATTTCACCAACACTGAATACAATATTTGGCCACTATTAATTAATCAATTAGTTTAAAATTAAGGAAAATAAGTTGTAAATAGAAATCGAGAAAATAGATAAACGTTTTAATAACTAAACCAGGAGAAATCTGTTTATTTCAGAAGTTATTTGACTAAACAATTGTACTGAATTCCTTGTCAAATTTAAGGTTATCACATCGAGATAAACATTAGTCAATACTGAACTTTCTGATCAGTCCTATCTGAAGTTACGTTTTTATGTTTTTGGTGCTGTTACTAAATAAATATTATATACCTGTATTCCTCTCATTTTAAGCTCTTATTTGACAATGAAACCATTGTTTTGTGTTCTACCTTCCCCAAGTGATTCTTAATTTATAATATACCTGTCATTCAGTCCTCTTCCATTTATGGTATAATTGTGCTCACATTGTAATTTCCTAATTCTGTTTGTGTGCGGTCAGTAGTTTTCTCTATAACATTGTATGTATGATTCATAAATTCGAAATGTATGATCAGAAGTTATCAGTTTGATGAGCCGTGCTCTATTCTGGCTATCAAAGGAGCGAGACTGAGAAACCGTATTCTGGAACAGTAGTCGTCTGATATTAATCTCGGTTGTTATTTCACATTTAGCGTGTCATTTGTTAGCCGAAGATTATTGGTACCACATAGACAGTTTGGGCGAAATAGATCATTAAATTTCTTCCTGTCTTACGGTTCAATCTCACGTGCCCCAAATTAACTAAACATGAAAATCTGTTTATTCTCACCGACACATGAAAGGTTAACGCTGAAAGTTTACTGTGTTTTTAGATCACTAATTTGGCAGCTAATATTTCAACTTCAGTCAGTCCAAAATATTGAGAGGTCATCGTTCATTGTTATAGTGGTTAACTATCCCATTTACAACATGATTGAACGCTACAGACCGTGGCTTTACACCAAGACTCGAAGTAAATAACTAACGATCAATCGATGCTTATTTGGATGAGAGTTTTTATTTTGAGATCTCCACTATCACATCTTCAAACACCATTCATCTGAAAATAGCTTATGCAAAGAACAACTCAGTAATAATATTCCATTCTAGTTTGATAACTCGTGGTATAATAATATCGATCCAAAGTAACTCATGATATGTCAATATCTTTGCATTAAAGTAAACGTGATCTCCTGAGTGGTCGTAAGAAAATTTTTAACCTCTGTATGTGTTTTCAATGTAGTTTGAAAGACAATTAAACACTCACTGTCACAACTATACGCTTTACAACTGTACCGTAAATTCTGTGATAAAATCTCTAAAATTAACAGATCATATATATATATATATATATATATATATATATATATATATATATATATGCCCAGCTTGAAAATTTAATCACACAAATTTCTGTAACATCTATCAAACAATATCTCTTTCAGAATATTTTAAACAATATCTTCGAGTTAAGACAGTCAATATAACTACCCAAAAATAGTAATATAGACAATAGTAGCTAAATTATCATCCCTCTCTTAATACTAATACAAGACATTTTAACTATACATTTTACAATCAAGTAAAGAGATAGTAATGATCATAATCATTAAAATGACTGACATAATTTCTTCCACTTCCATTATTTGTACCACAAATGTAGTTTATTTAATAAATTCTCTTAGTTTACAATACACACTATTATCCAATTTGTTCTACTCTCTTGAGATCTCGTCAACAATATTTTTTTCTTCTGTAATCATGTTATTTATTGTAAACATTTTAAATAGACGCGCAAAAATATGATAAAAACCAATAATATATATATATATATATATATATATATATATATATTGATTAATTAAATGATTGACATAAATTGAAAATGAGTACATTAATTCAATGTTTGAAATGATGAATGAATAAACGAATGAAAATTTTATAAAAATCATATTTTTATCATATGTTTATTTACGTCCAATATTATGTCTGCCAAATTTTTTTTATAATTCTGTCTAGTATTTATCTTTCTATCATTTAAAGCCTTGTAACTAATTGAGGGGAATAAAAATATTTCGAATTTAATTCGATTGTTGGTTGATATGTAAGTGACTTTTGAATACTGAAACCCACTCAAATAAAATTCAATTGATGCATCCTGTCTGAATAGTACAAAATACACATCCTGAATCCCACTCTATACACTATTGTTTTTAAAATCTCAATAAAATTTTTCATTTAATATATACTTCAGTGGTTTCTGAAAAAAATGGTAAATTTTAAGAAGATTCCTAATTTGCTAACTGGTGTAAGTGGAAGGAAAACTTATTGATATGGAACTGTAGAAGTGAAATGGTTAAAATATGTTGAAATAAATGTTTTGATATAGCGATATTTACATCCTCATTACAGATGGAGTTTTGGCTATTACATGCTCACCTGGATGTGTTTGAATATTAATGAGAAGATAGGTTTTCATAGAGGGATAAAAACTTCTTTCCTGGCTTCTAATGCTTATCAATATCTAAAATCTTATTAAATAACTAACAAATGAAAGTTAACGATTTTCATTCATTGAATTACAACTAAGTTGGCAACTGACACTGCACTTATAGCAAGTTCAGGAGAATCAACACCAACTTCACAAGGCCAGATATTTTTTCCAAAGTTAAAAAAAGTAAAAAATCTATACAGTTCTTTATGGATTTTAGTTACCGATAGATAACTGTATAACGATAACCTAATTTATACTTACTGGAATTCATTTGCCATAACATACTTTCGAACGGGAACATGTGTATATATCATTAATTGTTACAGCCATACAATGACTAATCACAATGTAATTCAATAATAACACACATAACTTGATAGAATTATCAGATTTTTCGATTGACAATGATTCAAGCGTTCAACATCTTTTGTGCAGTGTTTGGGATAAAGTAAACTAATTTTCATCTTAAGTAACTTTATCTGTCACTGGATAAATGACTTATGCACTGTAAATTTACGTAACGTACTTTTATGAATGGAAATGTTTAGTAGCGAACGTAACTGCAATCACAGACAACAAATATACTAAAGATTGGTCTAATTTACTACAAACGTTAGAATGAAGAGTTCAGCCAACAGACAATTATTAACCTAATCAAAATATCCACTACACGTTTCACTAAAAGTAGCATGCACTCCACCTCAACACTACAATCACATTCATTTTTGTGATTTTGTATCACGGTTTTCAGGTATGAAAAATAAATGATCCGCCCACAAAATAATTAACCAATAACTGAAATGCATATTTTTAAGTTAGATCATATGACCTTGACCACTTCAAGGACAAATATTCACGTAATTGACACGCCCTAAATGCGTGACTGACAGCTGACTCAATTTTGATTGGCTGAATTAATTCATATTTAATATCCTTAGTTAGTCTATTCATTGGTCAGTTTGATTTCGGATGCAAGTGATGGGGCGTGCCAACCGATAAATTAACGTAGTTATGAGTTTGCGTCAGTTCATTTAAAATACCACGCGAACATTAGCTTTACTCATAATATGGGTATAGCCTATGAGTCTATATGCCTACCTGGTGCGACAGTGGATTCGGGATTCGATAAAGTTAGTTTTAAACTATTTCAAACAACATTGTATATTTGCTATCGTATTTATCTTTTGTATTAATTATGCAAGGTTTGTTTTACAGATTAATGAATTACAAGCAGCCGAAGTTTTACTATCACTGGCCAAAGGTTCATGCTCGAACTGGTCAATATTTTCACAAAATAAATCACCAATAAACCAAAATTCTTATTGCTCTGAATATCATCGAAATATGTTTAAGGAGACAGTTATACAAAAAACAGGAGAAAATGAACAAAGGAGTAAATCTCAATCCTACTTAACATCATTAGATAGAAATTTACATCGGAATATAAAATTTAAACTTCATCGAATTAAATCTTTAACTAATAAAAAATCACAATCATCAATTAATTTCGATAAGCTGCAACAAGTTCCGGAAACTATTCCTCATCAAAATGTCAGTTCATTTAGCCCTATTATGAATACATCTAATTTGCAAGTGAGTTATACTATGTATTAATATTTTTGTTATCATGAATAATATTTTAAGAATGAAATGTTGGAAGATGAAGTTGAACTTTTACAGGGTCTGAAATGTCGATAGCATAGCATAATACTTCCACTTAGTCTTCAGAATTGAATTTTATCATAGGTAGTATATATACACTGACTTCTCACCGCTTGAAAATGTTAGGTTAATGATGACATCATTGAAAAGTATGGAAAAATCTCTTTCTATTGTTGATATAGGCTGTTTAAACCCACTTTTATTAAGTTTGAAATCATAGAACAACAGTAAATCTATTCATGGAGGACTTATAATCTGTTGACAGAAACGAATCAGGTCTAAGTTTGCGCATATTGAATCCATTCATTCACATGACTGGATATTATTCATTTTTGACATTGAGCTGATATCAGAATATAGTGAAAACCCAAAATCCTAATTTTAATTCCTCTTGCTAATGTATAACCCTATTTCGAACTTAGTAAATTGTCCAAGTTTCTTATGGTCACTTTAATATCGCTCAATTTTGTCCATAAACACCATTCTCACTGGTTATTTTTTTTTGCTGAAAACCCATTATTTATATTTCAATTTGGAGAAACGTTTTACTCAATTGGCGCGTGTCAACTAATTCAGGAACTGTACATTGTTGCGAAGTTAAATTCTCCATTTTTTACTGCAGACCGTATTTACACAAGAGCCTACAGAAATTTACCTCTAAAGTTTATTACATTACTTAGTGCACTCCATGAAAACTAATTTTTCACAATTTATTTACATATTCTCAATTAAAATATCCCTCCTAAGACATTTCTAACTCTGTAATAATTTCATTGGGTTGGGGATAAACTACACGTTGTCAAGTCATTTAAGTGTATCGTAGTCAGTAATTACGGTTATGTTTTCGTTAATTTAGTCACTCAATTGTAGATATTTTGGAATAATTTCTATTATAGAATTAGTTGGAGGTATGACTTTTGCCAAGTTGTAATTTTTCTTCCATCATTACTGACTGCCCTATACTTGACACGTTCATAGGCTGATGAAGTGGTACTTTTGTCATATAAAACTATATTTTCCATGCAAGCCAACACAAAGAACGGAGAACGAATCACGCCCTCCATCATTGATTGTGATAGTGTAAATAATAATTCCCGATTCATTTTGGTTGGTTGCTAGGTGAAAGGTCGAGATCGAGAGCGAGAGTGGAATTTATCCTCACCCTTTAATTGCTTCTATTAGAAGTAGACTATACCGCCGACCTTGGACGACCTATCAACCAATCAGAAGACAGTATTTGGTTGTAAAACAAAATGATTAAAATACAATTGCAAAGCTGTTTTGTCATGAATGATGTGATATCGCTACATGCTGAATTGTTTATTAAATTAAATAAGAAAGAGTTATGTATACGAGTAAGGCCTATAAGTTATGGTTAGGATTAAGAATTAGGGTAAGCGTACCCATTGATCAGTGTAAAATTACAAGTACTTTCTCGTCGAAATTCAAAGAATCACTGAATTTCGTCCCTAGAGTTCTCTATTTTTTCATGTTGGTGGGTGTAAAGTATATGGACGATTTGAAACTATATTTTAGCCAGCGAAAATACAAATTTTAGTTATTAAATTACTTTTTATAAAAAACAGTAATATATTGCACAGATTTTATATGAATAATGAACACTTATGCATGAATTGTTAAGGTTTTATCACAAACTAAAATCAGCTATAGTGTAAAGATAAATTTCGGACCGAAATTTGATTAGTTCGTCCCTGTACTTTACTTCTGCCATCATGTTTATTAATATTAGGCGTATCAGTAGCTATATATTGGTAAATTATACTCCTTCTGTACTTATCTTTTAGTTGGTTTCAAACTATCCTTCATGGCTCTTAGAATTTACCTCAAAATAACAAAGCCAAGTCAGATGGGTTCGGAAGTATATTCTACCTATTTTTCTGACTACTACGGAATTTTTGATATTGACTTCAATAGAAATTCATAGTTCTTATTCTTCAATTTTACTTATTATTCTTGATTTTAAATCACGAATTGGTCATAGTTAAGCTATCATTGAAAACCTAGAAGCACCAGACAAACTTACCGTCTAGCTATGGGATACTTCAGTAGTGTGCCTCCACACCACTGAATCCGGAATCGAAATCAGGACCTCCTGTCTTGCGCGCAAATGCTTAACTTCTAGACTATTAAGCTGCCATCCAACGCCGTTATTGTTTAACTCCGATACTATCACGATAGTACGCTATCATCTTCCATTGCTTGCAGTGAATAACTGTCCCATATTTGACATGACTGAACTCCACTAATCATGGTTTCTCACTAGAACCCCAGGAAATCCATCTATAAATTAATCACTTGTGAGGATGTGATTATTATCAGTATAGTTTTGTGAAGACTAGGATCTCCATAGATTTTAAATCATCAACAAATCTCTATGTTTGGTTTTTCAGTATTACTGTTAATATTATGATTTGAACTGCTTTATTTATATTATTTTATCTCCAATTGTTATGCTGATGAGAATTATTTCAGCTTGTTCAAACTTACATTTGTTAAAAAAATTCTACGTGGTTTATTACTAACTGACTGACCGACTATTGGTCTAGAAATAAATTGTGATTCATCGAATTGTTAGAGTGCATTCTATGTAATAAAGAGATAGAACTCTGATTTAATTTGTAATAGTTTGGATTGTCCCGTTGTTAATATTTTGACTTGAATTTGATCAGTCTTAGTTGGCATAGTGCATCCTGTGTGGATTGCTTCAGTATAGTCATTATGACATAGGTTTACGTAGAATGGATAAAATGTAGAGGGCAGTGGAATCTAGAACTTATATTTCGTTTTGTTTGCGACTCGTCAAATCGATATACTTGTATCCTGGATTCTAGTCTAGTACCTTTCGCTCGAAAGCGCAACACGTTATCCACTTAGCTTCTGAGTCTTAAACACTGCAAGTGATTGACTATCTGCAGCGAATGGTTGTGGGTTCAAATTCCAGAGTAGACATCAACTCGGATGCAAGTGCATCCAGATGACGAATCCCAAAATAGGACAAAACATACGTCCCTGATCTCACTGTTGACCACACTCTATCTATTCTATGTAGACAGAACTCTTGTTGTACCTAGCTGTTGAATCTCTATCATGAGTAACTGACCCTGTTGTAGACCCTCTTACGCCTGTTACTCCTCTTGGAGAAGCCTAGGCCGCCCACCAGCATTCTCCATCCAACCCTGTCCTGTGCAATCCTTTGCATATGTGCTTCTAATTCTCTCCACAGTGTACTCCTTGACTTTTTTCTTTTCCGTTTCCCTTCAGGATTCCAAGTTAGCGCTTGCCACGTGATGCAGTTTGATTATTTCCTCAATGTGTATCCTATCCACTTTCAGTGTCTTTTCCTGATTTCCTCTCCAGCTGGAAGCTGGTTTGTTCTTTCCCATAGTAGACTGTTGCTCATGGTTTTCGGCCAAAAACATTTAGTATCATACTGATGCAGAGGCTGCTGCTACACTAGTTGTCTTCATCTGCATTTGTTGATGTATATGGGATAGAAGGACCAGGTCATCTGCGAAGTCCAAATCATCTAATTGATTCCGAGCTGTCCTTTGTATTCCATGTTTCCCCTGTGACGTGGAGGTTTCCATAATTCAGTCGACCAACAAAAGAAAGAAGAAAGGTGAGTGTTAGCATCCTTGTCTGGAACCGGTCTTTATTTAGAATGTCTCTGTCAGTCGACCTCCATGTCCGGCCACGCACTATAGTCCATCATATGACATAAACGATATTCTCGGGTACATCCAAGTGTCGAACATTCCATAAAGTTCTCCTATCCACATTGTCAAGTTGGTGTATGGTGACGAACTCCATTGAGTTGATTGCGTAACAATGATATATAGTATCGCGTATTGGTATGTGCACGACCGATCCGTTCGGAACCTGGACTGTTGATCTCGAAGCCAGGTGTGTACGTGTCTTCCCCGTGGTTAAACAACACTTTGTTGAAAACGCTTTCTAATACTGATAGTAGCGTGATACCTCTGCAACTCTCACTCGCTTAGATCTCAATTTTTGTATTTTGATGGGGCATCGTTCTTTCCAGTCAGTCAGCATTTGTTCATCCTTCCAAATTCTCCTGAATACAGTGTGAAGCATGTTTACAGTTGCTTCCATGTCTGACTTTAGTGGTTCGGATGGTATATTGTCAGGTCCGGCTGCTTCTTCACTCTTGATTTGTCTGATGGCCATCCTGATTTCTTCGACCGTTGGTGGAGTGACATTTATAGGATATTCTGTGTATGCTGCTTCGATATCCGGTGGATTCAGTGGAGCTGGTCTATCCAAGAGTTCCTCGAAGTATTCCACCTATCTGTTCCTCTGTTCTTGAATCTCGGTGATTGTTTTTCCTTCTTTGTCGTTGATCGGTCTCTGGTTTACCATATTTCCCTGCTAGTTTCTTTGTTGCTGTTTCATATTTCCTTCGCTTGATACATTTTCTGCTTTTCGGCTCTAATGCTCCTCGTCACACTCTTGTTTGTTTCTGTGTGTTCGGCTTGTGCCATGGCTTTCTCTACACTTGTTCGACTGTTGTTAATTGTTGTCTTCTTGTTCTGCCTTTCTTGAATCTTGTGCAGGGTTCCCATAGAGATCCATTCGTCACGATGCTGCTTCTTGCGGCGCATGACTTCCTGACACGCTGAAGTTATCGTTTCTTTGTTCCTTTTTCAGTTGATTTCCATAGCAATATCGACTTATTTGAGTAGATCTTGTAACGCTTGGAACCTGCTGTTGAAAGCGATCTTGAATTCGTTGAGTTTATTATTATCTCAAAGGAAGGCTGTATTAAACTTTTGTACTGCAGTTTCCCCAGTTGGTCAGAGCTTCTTTATCTTCAGTTTCATCTAGGCCACAACGAGGTGGTGATATGAAGCTATATTAGCTCCTCTCCCTCCTGGTTCTCACATCCTCCATTGTTCTTCTGAATTTTTTACTGATGTAAATATGATCTATCTGGTTCTCTGTGCTGTGATCCGGAGAGACCCATATAGCTTTGCATGGGAATATTGTGCAGCCAATAACCAATTTGTTGAATGCACATAGGTTTGGAAATCTCTCTCCATTCTTGTTCCTTTTTCCTAGTCCATGTTGTCACATGATATCTTTATATCCACTGTTGTCCAATCCAACTTTGATGTTCAGGTCTCCCATCAGAATGGTCAGGTCACCTACAGAACACTTCGCTGTGATCGTTTGCACCCTCTCATAGAACTGATCTTTATTGTTGTCGTTGTTGTCATTGGTAGGTGCATAACATTGAATAATATTCATTGTAATTCCCTACTTCTTTGTTTCGAAGGATGATTTGATGACTATAAATCAATGAGATTTCCACCCTATAAGTGCATTTCATGTTTTCTTGAACAGCATCAGATCAACTCTCTGAGTGTGTGGAGCATTTACCTCTTCGTGACAAGAGTACATCAGCATCTCCTTTGCCGTCCAGCTTGGGTTCAATGGTTTTCGTTGATTCCCACTAATGCAAAGTTTTAACTCCTCATTTCCGCAGCTATTTGTCTGGCCCTCCCGGTCTCCCACATAGTCCGAACGTTCTATGTATCTATATTGATTATTGTTCTGGTTGCCAGAAGGAATATCGGCCTCGTGACTTTCTAAGAATCTTGGTTTTCATGAAGAGGCATCATAATTTTTCCTACAGCTCGGAAGACATAGTTTAAATGGTTTGTCCTGGTTGGTGTTGCTTTGAAAATATTTTTTTCTACCGGATGGGGTTGCCGACTTTATGCCCAACCCTTCCTCCTTTACCTGGGCTTGCGACCGGCAGTAACTCTAGAAGAGCTAAAAGTTTAGTGGCAAACCCTCTACATTTAAAAATTAATAATGCTCTTCAGTTAGACGAAATCTTAAATATCTGTTTACAAATAAAACTTTTGAACATTAAGTATGTTATAATATGCAATTAAATTTCAACAATCAATGTTTTATTCATTCAACTCATTGATAGTCATTATCATTTTAAATAATAATCGAATATAACTGTATTTACTTTAATGTTCATGTATTTTTCCCTTGAACTTTTAAAAAATACTCTTAGATATCAAATCCTTCTTTAGAAACACCAAGCAATGAACAAGTATCTTTCTACAATCATCAATCTTCTATGAATAATTTTAACACTAATTGGTCAAATAATCTACCTATTAATACTGGTGAATCTCACCTTCTAACTAAGTCATTTCAACAAATCGATGAAAATTCTTCTGATTCTAAGCATATCCCATTGATTAATCAAACAAATCAATTCACTACTGATCAACAATCCGATAACCGAGTTACTTTTACTCTTTGGAATGATTGTGAACTTTCTCCTACAGCTTCTAAGTCTTTAAATTGTGAAAATAATAATCTCAAAAGTGTTGAACAACACCAATACATTTTGGATCGATTACTTCATACTAACTCTGATCTTACAACATTAATGCATTCATCATTATCATCATCAACGACAACAAATGATACATTTCGATCATCTAATTCAGATTCACAGCTTTTACGATATGATTTAAATGATTTTCCTCAGTGTACACTAACTCATTATTATGATCAAATGGTTGATAGACAATCTATCAATGAAACAATGACATCAGTAAGTTTTTTATGTCTTCTTTCTTTATTCTCCCTTTGAGAAATGTTAATTCTTAAACGTTTTTGGAAAGCGTTGATAGGGTTAAAAGAAAAATCAAGTTTTTGACTAGAATTTAAACTATCAATATCATACAAAACTTGATACATATTGAGTTCAAATTTGCATAAATTAAGAAATATGTAATTGGTAGCAGGATAGTATTCGATCTATCTCTAGTTGGCCTCAAATCGGAATACGTTAACTAGTTCATTTTCAAATCAATCAGCCCTAGTAGACTAACCGTGATGTAATACGTTTCTATATAAACTGTAATTAATTATTCATTGTATCTCTGTCACCTGGGTCATTGGAATAAATTTTATCAGCTTTTAGTTTTCATTTTAATTTGCGAAAGTTAAGTTTTGTGTTCAAGAAATGCTTGACAGTAAAAAAACATAATCGGTATAGTAAAAGGCTTTTAAATAAAACCATAACAACAGTTCAATGTTTGTTTGATCTTCAATTGATAATCAGCACTATCTTCAGACCCACTACTTTAGTTTCCTAACAGCTAAGCAGTTATAAATTAAACTCTAAATCAATTTTAGACTTCAATTATCCAATGTGTAAATATTAATCTTCAAATCGTGACTATTTACCCACTTTTTCATACTAAAATTGGTTTCATCCAATAAATAATGTTTAATAAACATAATACTTTGAGCTACTATCAATATTCTTCGGCAAATCAGTGAATTAATTCAGTTGATGTGGACAACACTAATTTAACTAATCGATGGATCTTATTTTATGTACATTTCGATACGACCCTTCTGTATTTCTTCACTTGATATTGTAATTATTTAATCTGAGCGCTTGAAATTTATGGTATTTCAAGTTATGATCTACATGATTGTAACTGGTTGTCATTTGTATTTCTTCATCACTCCCATTTAGACCAGTTACTCAATCGGTGTTTTTGTGACACTACTACTTCATAATAAGTAGTATACGCTCCCTATCGTAAAAGTGTATGGAATGGAGATATTATTTTATAACTTCAAATAAATGCACCCAGTGTTTAATTCAATATTGAAACTGTAGTAATATCAGCCTTGTTCAGGCTTGATTGATGTAAGGGTTTACGTTCAAAAGTGGTTGAAAACAAGGAGAAATATATTAGTTAGATGTTATTAAGGATGATAATGATGGTAATGTAACTGTTCAGACAACAAATAAGAAGTGTCTATCACCGTTCACCATCATGTGGTCAAGCTGGTCCACTAAACTATTAATTTACTTTTGTGATTCATTCGTTCGTACACAGTAAATAGATGTTTCTAAAGTTACAAATAATTTTGGGAATCTTGAAGATTCTAAGAAATACGCTGAAATTGGTAATCAAATTAATGAATTCTGTCTTCTGAAAATAAATTACAGAATGCATATCGATTCACAACCACGAACAGGTTGATATAGACAATAATGTTACATGTCAATGACAGATAAATGAATTTAGATTATTTAAGATATAGTTCAAAAATTGTTTAGGTTGTATGTTCTTTACATAGATGCATCAGTTGGTAATCATTAATTCTATCTAGAGGAACGTATTGATGATGTATGAACAGTGTATCTAATTTCATTCTCAGTGCTATTGCAAGGTAATTGTAATCATCTAAAACTGGGGTAAAGAAAGCGGAATCAGAGAGTATAGAACAATAACAAAGATAATTACTATGATAGTTCTACTATTATACATGTGTACCAGGATGTTTTATGATCTACTGTTCAGGATAAATATTATTTAAATTAGTTAAGTTTGTTAAAAACATTTCGAGTGTAAAATATCTTCATGTAGAGAAGTTAATGAGTGAGTACAATAATAATAATAACGATAAAACATTTAATGTTCTTATGATTTCACTAATAAAACGCAATATATTTAAAGATGTAAGCACGTTTAAGGCAGTTTCAGATGAGCAACAAACACCGACACAACAAACAAATGATTTAGAGTAATTTTATTTCATGGACAGATTGCGCTAAATTATTTCAAAGTCACAAAAGTTCACCGATAAAGGAATTCATATAAAAAGATTTCTAATAAAACTGGTTCATACACGATGAAGATTTTCGGATGCATGTTGAATCCAAGTTTACTCCATCTGAAGTTTTAGTTTAACGTACAATCACTTCCAATAATACAAATCTCAGATTACCTTTGAACTAAATCAAACTTTAATTTATCCTTTATACAAACACTTAAGAATAAAAGCTCAGTATTCTAGAATCAGTTGGACGTATACTTTGCACATTAAATTACGTAGTCAGTCATTATTGTTGTTACGACTTATGGAACACAGAAGTCGTTGAGACTCAGAAGTCTGTTTAGTGAGTTGTTCTGAAGATGACTAATTGTGAAAATACTTTAGTCTTAAATCCACCAATGTATGGAATATCATTTATGGTAAAGTCTAGGTTGATAAAATGATTACTAAAGCAAATCCATCCATATTTAGCAGTTTTGAGTCCGAACTTTCATTTTGAGCATTACATGCATTGAGTGTTTAAACAATCAGATTAAGAAAACGTTGAATGGATTGCTTTCTAAGCAATTTTTCAAGTTTCTCGAAAATTTCTCAAACAATTGTGGATATCTCTTAACATGATCAGTATTACTGATGATTTTCAATTGTTGGTGAAATCGTCAAAAAAAACTATTTTTTTTGTATTTTAGAGAAACCGTGACAGTTATTTATCAGTTATTTCCAGCCCACCATGTACTGAACAATATTGTACTAATGTGAACCAAAATTGTCAAAATTTCACTCCAACTGTAATCAACGATAATACATCGAGTATCAAATTACAAGATACACCAACTGATTTAATATTTTCAAATGTGAACTGTTCAACTGTTTCATATTGTACTATGATGACATCACACATTACTAATACTAATAATACAATCATTACCAATCTCACTGCTCCACTGAATAGTAATACTACTACTACTACTGCTATTACTACTACTACTGCTATTACTACTACTACTACTACTACTACTAATAATAATAATAATAATAATAATAATGGCTTAGAAAGAGTGAAGTCTTATAGATGCAACTTTGATGGTTGTACAAAAGCTTATTTCAAAAGTTCTCATCTTAAAGCTCATATCCGTGTTCATACAGGTAAGAGACTTTCTAAAAATCTAATCACTTTTACATACTGTTGATATTCAGGTTTAAAACATTCATTAATTTTTCACAAGTTTATTGATAAAATTAAAAACTGATATGTACCTAGGGTCAGTCGTGCCTGAACAAATGATATTAATGTTTTGTTTCACTGACTTGATATCTTAATGTTTAGTAGTGACTCATGAAGAATCCCTCTGTCTAATTCTCCAGCATGTCAAATTAGAACAACAGGATAACCATCAAATTTACTCTGCGCATTGACTCAAAAACTCACATGATCATATACATGAATTAAATGATCAAAACGCACCATACATAAATAAGAAATTACATGTAATCAACTGGAACATTTTAAGGTTCAGATTTTAAACAACAAGCTTTTAGTTCATTTACAATAACTTGAGAACATAATAAGACATAACTATAGTTAATGATGCGAATGGAAACTCGTAAAAAGATATCAGTTAGCCTCATCGTAACAAAAAAGAAAAACAATATCTGTCTCATCCCATTTTTCAACACTTAAGCCTCCACTTTGGTTCAAATCTATGACATTCTATTTTGGTTGCAAGTTCAATACTATAAAGTCCGTGAGTAGAAAATCTGTATTTCACATTTTCTAAATTCAGTCGATCCACGATATAAATCCAGTTATCCTCTCACATTATCGACTTATTTGACGCTTCAAGTAATCTCTCCTCATTAGAACTAAAAGCGAGTATATGTATGTGATGAATATATATACCATTAAATCACTACATTCAGGGTATCATAGTAAATTATCAAGACTGAATTTAAAAGTAATGTTTGATGATTGAACGTAGTAGATAGAAGATCCTGGATCTAGTTTTCATGCTAGCTGTCAATCGTCAACAAGGTGTATTTGCAATGTTGATGGATCTGACGCTCCATATATAACTCAATCCCACTTCAAACATCATCTCAGTCTGAGGCTAGACAGCCTGGGTTGTTCAATTTACTCGAAGTAGTGTTCACATTTCAACTTAATCGATAGAATTCTATCTGACCAACATGAAACGGGCACTAGTCAGACCAATTAGTTATAAGGTCGGTCAATTTTTCGGTTCAATTATGAATGTGCGTAGTTCGAGTTAACTTTCACTGCCCTGCACGAGCCTATGATAGTGAGTTTGAGTAATGCGGGATAAACAAGTTATCTATGATATTGAAATTAATTGATTGCGTGATGTCGCTAACTTTCATTTTGTTTCATGTAAATTTATTTCGATCAACGATCTGTATCGTAAGCCCCAAAAATCAACAAAATTTATAATTCAAAGTATGCATGAATCCATTCATGATGTGTTAATAAATTCACATTACTTGTAATCCTTCCTTTAGTAAAAGTATGATATGTACTGACAACCTTAAGCTAACCAATCAGAATCAAAGTAACACCTCATGTAATTTAAAGTTAAGTGACAAATAAGGTGTGTTATTAAAGAACTGATAATTCGCAATATTTGGTTCTTTTAACGCTTAAAATCAATAAAAACATATATTACGCAACCGAAAAATGAATTTATGATGGTGCTTAGCACAAGTAACAGAGTAGACCTCTCCCTAAGACAGGTTGTATGTTAAAGTACTTGGTGTGGTTCAATACGTAGTCAGCGATAAATAACATGTATGCTATTATTAACCAAGTGAAAGTTGGCAATATTTGGTTTCTAAAGTGTCTGAGATCAATAGATGGTGCTTAGGCGAAAGTATGTGACATACCTCCTCCTAAGACAGATTTTATGTGTCAAAGTATTTGATGTGATTCAATACTCATTCAATAATGTCGGGTGAGGCTAGATCATAATCTGCCATTCTCACTCCTACTCGAAATCCCGACCAAATTTTTCTCACATTTGCCAAAGGAAGATGGCAAAGTGTTACATTCTAGCTGATGTCAGTTCGTGTTGAAAACACTGACTCGAATTAGTAGACCTAACTCAAAACTCCAACCTTCTTACATTATAGCCGATATCAGTTAGTGACGAAAAGTCTATGGAGTGATAACCCCGAATTACAACACTAATCTGTCTGCTAATATGTATTTATGTATGTAAACGTGGCGTTTTCTCTGAACTATAAGTGATAACTTGACATGTGCATGTTGATTACTCAAATCAAATCTATTATTCCATTGATATTTCATTTCTTTGTATTGTTAATTGTTTTATGACTAGTGAACGTTTCCTTACTGAGTAAAAATTTTTCCAAGATGATTGTCAGTATAATACATTTTTACCTTTCTTTTTATTTAATTTTTTCTAGGTGAAAAACCATATATTTGTGACTGGAATCATTGTAATCGAAAATTTGCACGTTCCGACGAATTATCCCGTCATCGTAGAGCACATACAGGTGAACGTAATTTTATTTGTCAACGTTGTCCACGACGATTTACACGTAGTGATCATCTTAGTAAACATTTACGGCGACATAATTCCCCAATGACATTAAAATAATTTTTTTTTAAAAAAAGTTAAATAAAATACTGACAAATCAATTTGTATATATACATATTTAATTATCTTATAGTTAAGTTTATGGACATCCCTATTGAACTCTTTCTCTTCTATTTCTTATTTATTAATTAGGCATAAATTTGTATACCATATTGTATTATACTGTGTATTACAGATTATTCAGAGATAATATTATTTATCATTTATTTTAAGCAGAATACATCAATTCATTTAATGTTGTATACAGTTTACCCAATATGTAATTTTGTTTCTTGTTCTTGTTATATGTCCTTCTTCTTCTTAGGTGGTGGTGGTGGGGAGTTGCAACAAAGAAAACAACTCTATATGTATGTAGAAATATGTTTTCTTGTGTATATCTTAAAATTCATGAAAACTTTTCATTTTATAATCAAATTTATTACCAATTGTGAAATGAACTTATATGGATCATAGAAAAGATTTTCGTTGTTTTGCTTTTTTTTCCTTTTTTATATCTATATGTGCGCCTTTGTACAATTTCATCATAATTTTGCCTTAGATTAATTTATATATCGAAATTAAATGGTCACATACTACACTGCTTTCAAAATATATTTGTATTTTCCAATTATGAACCAAAGATTATGGAGCTGATTACTATTATTATTATTATTATACTATTTTTGTTACTACTACTATTACTTCCAGTAATAGTTTACAAACTTTTCATTAGATATTTTTCTTTCTACGTTGTACATTTTGTTGTCAGTTGCTACCATTGTTCAGCTTAACTTATTCTATATATGTGAAAAAATGTTTTTGTTTACTAATTAGGTTCATACTCATTGAACAGTGATACTTATGTATTTCTTATTTCCTCTTTTTAATTCTTCATTTTTGATTGTTTTGAAATATAAAAAGAATTATGACATAATATGAATGCGGAAAATTCATTATTGAAGTATAAACCAGAGTGAAGTTAACTAATTTGATTATCCACTAATGCTTTTCATTGACATGTCTAATAATTCAACACTTAATATACTGACTTTATAATCATTTACTAGTCCCCTAAAATCTCCCCTACTGAAATTTTGAATAAAGGATAAAAGACGTAAAGTACGAGAAGAAGCTTTACTTCAAAGGTTAGTTCTCATGTGAACAGTTAGATCATTTATCAGATTCTAGAAACGTCCAGACAACACTCTAAGATCTGTGACGACCCGTCGTATCCTAGAATTCTCTTATAATTATCTAGTGGGTAGACTATTTGTCGATTTGTTCTTAACTTATTCAATGAATCCTCAAGGGCTGCAAACATTTATAACACTGATTGCCTATATAAGGTGCTGGGTTCGAATCTCGCGGGGGGAGGGGTCGTGAGTGTGCACTGCTGAGGAGTCGCACAACAGGACGAAACGGCCGTCCAGTGCTTCCACGTTTTCCATGATGGTCTAGCTTCAACTGACTTATGATTTCAACCATTGAAATTACTAAAATCTCAACAAAACCCCATCTGATATATGAGCGAACGCAAAATAATAATCATAGTGTAGTGTTATTGATTTATTGATTACAAGTTTGTGGGCTGTACTTTGAACCACATGTTAATTGTGTGTAATGGCTATTGATATTAACCTGTAACTCAAGATCGGTTAGGTGGGGATAGATTTCAAAATCAGGACTTACTAGTTGAAATCCGAGTTCCAGCCTTTAAATAGTTTCAATATAATTAACCTTGAATGACCACAAAAGGATGACCTTGTTAAAATTTTCGCATCATTAGTCTGTCAGAATTTAGAATACACAAACGAATAATTTATTATAGAAAAGTGAAAGCATTCCAAAAAAGCAGAGTGGGTTTTTTAATCTGTTAGTTCATAACGTACAATGGACATTAAGATGTCACAAAAACATCCTTAACTAATAACTGGATAAAATCAAGAACGTTTAACGAGTAATTACTGTTTCAGTTACAATCTATATCAGAGGCAGATGTATTTTGTAATTTAGCTTTCACATCCGGTCATACTTTGTGTGTGTGTATTCCTATTTATTAATTTAAAACATCTACAAAACTAAGTATGGGAAAGTTTTACTTAACTCTTAATGCAGTACAAGCTAGTTGTCATCATATTTTAAATGTCGATCAGAACTCAAACAGTATGTATGTTGATTCGAACTGACTGTTTCTAACTCTAATCAATAATTCAGAACCCTACCAGAAATAAACTTATTAACTCTGTGACTACATAAGTAATGTAATCTATGGACTAAAGAGGATTCCCGTGTCCGAAACCCTCCAATCTAAATAATGGAAATCTAGATGAGTTACTGTGTGTACTTTTATTATTTACACTGCTGTGGCTATATAAGTAAATCACAGGAACACGAATAATAAAGATCAATATTTACATAACCCATTAAGTCAATAGGTCAGTTATAAGCAACATATACCCTGGGACAAATGTGCATGGTTCATGTACAAGTTCACATACTACATCATCACGATAACATGAATCTAGTAAGATGAGTAGTAAAACAATTATAATAGCAACAGGAATTTAAAAATATTAAACAATGAGAATATGTTTCGAGAAGATGAAGTGAGATGATATGCGCAAACTAACACTGAAACTCAAGATCTAAATAGAAATAGAAAGTGAATGTATTTGTATCATTTTCACCAATTCTGAGACATATTACCCAATATAAAAATAAGAATCTGGTGCCTAACATAAGGTTCGAATCTCTCCGTGAACATCAATACGAATAAATTAAACCCAGCTAGGTAATCCCTAATGAAATGAAAATATACCTCCTGGTTTCCAGCGCTAACCACAATAAAACTACTAAAAATCATGGCTGTGGTGTGAGCTACTGATGTCGACAGATATAAGTAGTATGTATCATCAATCGAAAGTGGAACGCCTGGAGTCCAAATTTTAAGAAGATAGAAGAAAAGTGAACGGGAAGAGATAATGCTTGATGTAGAAACGAAAGAACAATAAAGTCTGTAACGATTGATTGACATTTTGCAAATGAAGTATTTACTGTATGATTTTCAGATTTCACTAAGACTTTCTGTAATTGTGTAGTCAAATACATTCGATCGTACCTACTTGTGTTCTTATTCACTACAACGACTGAATGATAATATTGAGACAGCATACTTAGGATGTGCGTATGATAGTAGGAGCTGATTAATTTCAATTCTGGACATAAGCAGAAGGGAACTTCAAACTTTTAAAAAACGGTTTGACACTAGAAACACGAACAAAATCTTTTACTCAAAAATAAATATTTCAGTTCCAGTACTTTTGTTAAGGAGAGCTTCTCTCATTTAATCAATTATCATGACATATTAGCTCTTTCTTTAAAGGATAATGGTAAAAGTATACTATACTATATCAATGAAATAATAGCTTTGATATGAGTAATCAGCACTCATATGTGAAATTATCACTTGTAGTTCAGAGAAAATGTCACGTTTACATACATAAATACATATTAGCAGTTTGGTTAGTGTTGTAATTCAGGGTTATCACCCCATAGACTTTTCATTACCAACTGACATCAGTTATAATATAGGAAGATTGGAGTTTTGAGTTAGGTTTACTAACATCGATGACATTTTTTTATTCATATTTCCACAATAATATTCTCTGTTACATGCTCTAAGTTTACTAACTTTTTCTCAGTTTCATGGTTTTCGCATACTATAAAATAAAGAGTTGTTCAATTTATGTTTGTGACTTCTGTTCGAAATATACAGTTATCTTTAGGTCCCATCTTTTCTATTATATTTTATCTTGTTTATTATTAACTTTGAAGTTTTATCATGTGTCAAACATCCGATATATTCGAGTTCATATTTGTTCTTATTCGTACTGAAAGATGCCCTATTATTTGTAAAACAGAACTTACCATATACCAACTGGAAACCTCAACACATAATCATTTTTAATAAAGTTTTATTCACTAATCTTTGCTTGCTTCACTTCAATAAAATCTTTACATCAGTATAAAATTGTTTGTCTAACCAATTAAATTATTTAGGAAAATGTTGTAAATTAGTAAGACATTAATTTATTTTTTATACAGAATAATACTGTGCCCCTGTTTATTAACCTAATTATCACTCAATATTTGTATGTTTATTTCAAATAATGAACAACTGAGATATTCTTCTAATACAACACTGAGTCTACGCGAAGTAGATAGACCAGATATTGAATACACCACAATAACTCAATGTTGATAATCCATACGCAAATAACAGAGAGAAAAGACAAGAATTCCAAAGGAGCTTTAGGTTTTGAAACAATGTCGAAATGATAACGGAACAACATTGTTGGTACAGAAACAAATACTACCATGGGGCATGATGACAAAAATATCAAACTGAAAGCTAGTACAAACAATCATGTAATACCATGGGTCAGTGAAAAAATATGAATGGTAAATTAAATATTAAAACCACCTGGCATATACATATAGGATGTATGTAAGCGAATTATAATGCTCATTAACAATCATTTGCAAAAAAAAAAACAACCAACAGTCATCTTGACCTTAGCTTATTCATTATTGATTCAGACCATAACTATTCACTATTGAAAAGAGCCATGTAACCATCAGTATTATGATCTTTTTTAAAATTTAAAGAAAAAACATGAAGAATATCCTATCTCGTTTTAACGAAATGGATTTATTGACTTGTCTTTTATTCAGCTTATCAACTAACAAATAACTATTCTAATTATCTTAACACTAACTGACCCTCAATTTCCTACTTTCTTATATGATTTTATTTAAATACATTATCTCTGTCAATTAAGCATCCAATTGTTATGTCTTGTGAATGTTTTCCAAAATCCTCGTCGCCAGTTGTTATGACTTGTGAATCGAATGCTACTTTGTATCTGGTCGTCGCTGATTGTTATGTCGGAATCGCTGACCACTTATGCTCGTAACGAAGGGACCTCCACAATTCCCACGACGCGAAAGTAAGAACACAA